TATGGCTAAAAAAATGGTTGTCAAAATCGTGTCTAAAATTGTAAAATTGTATGATTTTATGATTTTATATACATAATTTGTGTCAAATTTAAGTCAAAATCAAGATTCTAGAAACTTAGAACAGTAAAATTGTAAAATTGAATAAAATCAAGATTTTACAAAGTTAAAAGGTTTTATGGATTTTTGTATCTTAATTTGACTGATAATCACCAGTAAGATATTGGTGAAGTTGTGCTTGTTGGTTATTTATCGATTGATTGGTAGTCGTTTGAATCTTAGCTTCTAATTTGGCATTTTTAGGTTTTCAAACAAAAATTTTAAGATCTAATTAATTTTTTAAAGTTAAACTAACAATATTTTATTATGAAAATTTTTTAGATCAAAATTATTAAAATTTAAAATAATTTAATAACTATGAAATAAAAAAATATTTAAAAAAGATTTGAAATAATTAATTAGTAATTATATTTTTTAGATAAATTTTAAATTTAAATATTTAATATTAAATTTTAATAACATATAAATTTTAAATTAATTTAATAAACTTTTTTATTTTATTGATTGGATTTTACCATTTCATAAGGGTGAGATAAAACTACTTGATGGCTGAAATCGAAGTTTTCCTTTTTTTTTTTTTTTCCAATTACATGATAAAACATAACTTATCTCTATTCTTGAGATATTTTCTGAGGCAAATTGTGTTCTAATTATTTCACAAAAAAATCGCATGGATACGTTATCAAGGCCTATAAATACTCCAAAAGTCACTAACCCAAAGCTCTCTTTTTACTTGGGCATGGAGTGTTTACTCGAAGTTAAACCTAGAGATGGTAATAGGTCCCCACAGGGGTGGGACTCCCTTCCCATCCCCCTCCCTGTCAATGATGGTACGGGGATTTTCATGGGGATTTTTTATAGAGGATAAAATATAGTCTCCGTCCCCATACCTGCGGGGAATAATATGTTCTTGTGGGTATTCAAAGTCCTCACCAAATAAAACTCGATACTTGTTTCTCGTTTAAGAAATTAACTAAAACTAGAACGAATTAAGAGTTTGAATGAGTCCCAAAATAACAATACGATTATCGTTCGTTGCGAATGCGAGAAAGAAGCTGGGCAGGCATATAAACAAATAAAAATCGCATTCTGATAATCTTGCGAACAATCAGAGGGAAAATGAAATCAGAAATAATAAGGCCAAAAAAATAAGATCTCCTTCACCTCAAAATAAATCATCAAGTACAGATATTCACAAATACTCATAACTTAGGTTTAGGCAAACTGCAAGTAGTCGACTAAAAAATAGAAACAGAGCTATGGGCACTACCTTTCAAAGGTTGCCAAGAATAATAGGTTGAAGGGAATTGACAGATTAAAGAACAAAAACAAAGCCAATGAGCTACAGTGCAGAGGAGAGGAGATTGGAGTCTGGAGTCTAAAGTCTGAAGAGGAGGAATCGCAGAGCAGATTTGGAAATCTCAAAAATTTGAAATAGTTCTTCTAGTTTTAGAGTTATTAGCAAATTGGGCTAAACTTGGGCAATTAAGTTTGAGAAGATAATGAAAATTGGGTTGGACTTGGATAATTAAATTTAAGAAAATTATGGGTTAGACTGAATTATATAATTGGGTTTGAAAAAACTAAAAAAAAAAATTGATTAATTAATTAAGTTGAGTAAGTAAAAATTAATTATTAATATATTTAAAAATATATATA